GGCTTTGTTTCCCTGATTTCTCTTCATTACCTATTTCTCCTCCTCCTCCTTTTCTCAGCTCTCATCTCCTTTTCTCTTTCTCCTGTCTTCTGTTCACCCTCCTCACGTCTTTGATGATTGTGAAGCTGGGTGGACTGAGTCATGGACACAGGAAAAGCCTGAGCTGCCCTCATCAAGTCTCCTCTGAGACAAGATGGGATATGAGAAACAAAGGAGCTGCACCCACTATGTCCATCCTCTCAACTCCCCTGTCTCCTCCTCCTCACTGCCATAGAGACCTCCATCTGCAGGTCACTCTTCAGCATGACATCCTGCATGGAGATCTCTCCTCCCTCAAGGTAAAATCGAATTGTATTAGCCTGGTAATTAGCCTGTTAAAACCTCCTAACACTAGTCAGAGTGATCCCTGCCTCCTCTCCACCCTGATGCCCCGCCGCTTCCCCTGCGCTGCAGCCGTGCTGAGGCATCCAGGGTTCATGAGGGTATGCTGTGCCGTGTCCCCTCGGGACCTTGTTCTTCCTGCCAGAAACACACTTTCCCTCCTTTGTTTGCCAAACACACTTGAACTTCACCTTTGTTTAAGCGTCATCTTCTCTGGGAAGTCTTCCTCTCCCATTCATGGTTATTTGCTCAGCCTTTTAACCTTTGAGCATTCCCCTACGTAGAGCACCTGTCTGAAGTGCATTGATGTGTTTCTGGGTCTGTTTCCCTATCAACCTGTGAGTTCCTGAGAGGAGAATGTATGTCTTATTTTTGTAACCTCAGCATTGAGCATTGAGATGTACCCAGACCTGCCTCTCACTGCTCTGCCCGTCTTACAAAACAATAACTTTCCCTTGTGCTAACAAATGTTGACCTAAAAGAAATGTTGACTGCCAAATATTTCTCTAGGGGAGATAGATTTTTTTCAGGTTCAGCAGAGAATTGCAGTTCAGGGTCTGCACCCATGGTGAGCCATTTGCAAGTCCTTCAGTGAATGACAAGAAGAACACTTTTACAGAAAAGAAAGGCAGGGTGGGAAGGTTACTGTAAACAAATAGTCCAGGGCTTTTCATTGGGTGAGTTCTTGCCAGGAAAGAAGAGGAGTCTTTCTTCTACCTTTGGGCTCTGCTCTCTTCACAGGATGTGACAGCTCCTCCTTCTGGTCTCCCAACTCCACTTAATAGAAATTTCTGGTGTTTTTTTACACAAACATTTCTTGAACTTTCACAATGTACCAAGTACAATAACTCCAAAACAACAAGCCACATTGGAATCTTTTCATAAAAGAGATAAATCATCAACAATCGTGCTCTTGAGGAGTCAACTTTAGGGTTGAGATATGGTTTAGTAGACACCTTACAGTCACTTTTGTGCCTTGAGAGGAGAAATATATAAACTAGAAGTTACAAGGGCTTTCTTGTTAGGGACTAAAACAGAATCTTAAGGAATTTACCCATGTAAGTTAATTAGTTACTGTTAATAATGTTACACTCAGTGATATCTGACGGTCAAGGAGATGGATAAGACCTACTGACTCCTCTAACATCAACCCAGGCTATTTTAACAAGAGGCTGGGTTTTAAAATGAACTGAAGCTCTAAATATAGGGGAAAATGAATGTGTTTAGAATTTTTTGTATGTAGGAAAAAGCAGAGCTTCACAAAGATTTTTTAAAATAAATGAGATGGATATTTTATTTAGCTAAATATAAGTATCTGGTTACAAAAGAATTCAGACCAGCCTGGAAATTTCATGTAAAACAGAAAATTCTATCTAGGAAATTATATCTTTTATGGTACATCAAGATTATAAAGCCAGTTAATTCCAGTTCTGGCCAGTTCATCATACTAAGATAATATATGCATTTCCTGTACTAGTCCTTGTATGGAAGGAAGGATCTTATTGAGGAATAAATCACATATAAGGAATAGTAGAATTTTATAGATGGTGCAATAGAATTGAATATAAATGGAAAATCAACCTGGGGATCTGGTTGACAAAGGAAAAGACAGAATTTACAGGATTTGCTTTCAGTGTGGTATACAAACATTTTCCCACTTATAACATTGTCCAAGTTAAGACCAATTAATTATTTTTTTAAGTAAGTTATCAAACCAGTTGTCTACATGATGCTGGGAGAAAGACCTGTCCGTTGTCCTGAGAGAGAACAGTCAAACTCAAAGTCAGTGGTTCTTAACCTGTGGCCTCAGATAAGCATCACGGGAAAAATTGCTAGAAATGTGACTTCTCTGACACAACATTTTATATTGACTATACTTCTATATATATTAAATATATATATATATATAAAAGAAATGTCACTTCTCAGGCTCCACCAAAGACCTACTAAGTCAAAAATTCTGTGTGGAGGTTTCTAAGTTTTAACCTCACCTCCAGATGATTCTAATGGATGCTCAAGTGTGTGAACCACTGGTCTATGAATTGGGTCTTTCCAAAACCCCAGTAATTTTGAAGGAATCTGTCCTTTCTGATATTGGTATCCTGATCCCACATGGATGAATCTCTACAATTTTTGTCCTTGGTGGGTATTTGTTTTGTTTTATTTTGTTTTGTTGTGGGGTTTTTTTTTTGATTTTTGTTTTGTCTGTTTGATTTTTGCTCTCAAGGTGACCTTTCAAATAGTGTTTTTGAGAGACTTAGAAACTTTTTAACAACTCCCATTGTTGTTTTGCCCCAGCGGGGACCATTCCAACTCTTCCTCCTGAGCCCAGTCCAATTTTCCCTGAGGATATCCCCTCTTCCCCAGGGTCATCCCATGAGTTGTGTGTGTGAGGTATGAGCAAAGACCAGAAACCTGTGAAGCTACATGGAGAGGATGCCCCAGAAAGATGTAACACCTGAACTCTCTTCTCCAATTCGGGTCTGAAGGAAGGTGAGAGACTAGGGTTTCCATGCTGGCTGTTAAGTCAATGGTAATCGGATTCTTGAAAACCCCTGTTGGAGGGTGGGGAGACTAAACAAGGGATATAGACTTGATTGTAGTGAGTCTAATGTTAGAGGAGAGCCTTGGGAAGTAATTTGAGGGGGATATGCTATTAAAATAGTTGCTTCATGTTGCATATAAAACCCATCAACCAAGCATAGAACTGGTCTTATGAGATAGGGAACAGAGGAAAAGTAAAATCACTTTTAAAATCTCCATATAATCAGTTACCTACTTAATACATGAATTTGACAGCATTTACTGAACATGTGCTACAACAGTGTTGCTGTTCCAAGTTCTGGGGTTACCACGATATTGACATTGCAATGGAGTTGGTTGAGGGGAGATTCTGGAAATAAAAGAATGATGATAAACCTGTAAGTGAGGTATGTATTAAATATTTAAAGAACCCTGAGAAATGGGAAATTTGTTCTGCTTGGAAGAAATGGTGGCAGGAGAGGCAGGGAGGGTGACATTTGAGGTTGAGAAAGTAGGGAACAAAATTCCAGGAAAGAAACATGGAAATAAATAAATATGTGGCATATTTAAGACTATGACCATTAAAGATCCAGAGGTTCATTAAAGGAAGAGATACTGATGAGAAAGGCAGATGGAGTTTACATTCTACAGCCCTGTATGACTGCTGAGTTGCATGCATATGGGTAAACAGGTATTTCTACCCTGACTTGATCCACAAAGTATTTGATGTGGCTCCTAAGGGGCTCTAGTGAGAATCACTGCAAGAATAGAAGTGACAGAGGAACGTGTTCAGATCAGCGTTTAGAAAGGTCGCTTGGATAGCTGTGTAGAAGGTAGACTGGAGTGAAAGCAAATTGAATAATAAGAAGGGTTTGATCTCTGATAGATAATGGGGACCCGTAGGTCAGGTGAGGGGGTGGGAGGTGAGACAAGGTAGGGAGAGTGGGGAGGCCACTTAACGCTCACCTCTCACCCTCTATCTCTCACCAGCCATGCCTTCTTCACCTTTGGTTCCATCCCTCCACTGCCCCACCTCGTTTCCTTTTCCCTTCCTTCACTCACTCTAACCCTCCATTTCCTTCCTATAATTTCCTTCCTCTCTTTAATTCTTCATCTATTTCCATTTCTTCTTCAACATTTTTGTTTCTCTTCTACCCATGGATTCAATATCATCCTCTGATATTGCTGTCCTTTCAGAAGAGCTCTGTCTCCTTCAAACAAGATGTTCATCATCTATTTCTTCATACATGGAACAGTTACACCTCTGCCACTTGTCTCCACATGTGACCTGGGGTGCTTCACCCAGAAAGGTATCACCTACACTTGGTAAAGGGAGAAATGAAATGTCCCAGCTGTCCAGCTGTGTCCAGAGGCTCCCCTACATGGACGTGCACACCCAATAGCTTTTCACTGACCCAACAGTTCACAGCATGTTCTTACAAGCACTGACTATGGGCAAGGATGCCCACCTCAGGGCACAAATATATTGTGAAATGAAGACCTATGTCTCTAGCACATTGTGGCTGAATTGTGGAAGGAAAACACAGACATATGAAAAGTTCATTAACATTATGATGTGGTGACTGTTGCAGGGAAAATGATTGGTACAAATGTATTAGAGACTGGAAGAAGGGTGTTGTCTTTAGAGTCGGGGATCCACAGAGAAGGTGATTACCATTTATTAGTCCAGGCATTACTCTTGGAAGTTTATGTGTTATTTTTTTTATCCCTTAGGCAATTTCTATAAAGAACACACTGTTTTCTTACAGATGTGGAAACTGATTAAGTAACTTGCTCAAAGTCAAATCCCAAGGAAATAAAAGTTCTGAAATTTGACTCTGGTTCTGTTGGATTCCAACTATCTTCCCACCACTACATCACAGTGAAGCTTTGAAAGTCAGGTTGCATGTGTGTCTGGATGGCTTTAAGATATCTCATGAATTTGTGTTCCAGCACCAACTAGTGAACCCTCCAGAGACAAGGCTGTGTAGCCAGCTGTTTGTATAATGATCTGTACATAAGAATGTCCATCATCTCGATGTAGACAACTGAACTGAGCCCTTGAGGACTAAGAGCTTCATGCATGTCTGTCTGTGGTTTGTTTTCTTTAGGTGTGTGGAGAAGACACGATGGAACCAGGCAACCTCACGTGGGTATCAGAATTTGTCCTCCTGGGGCTCTCACAGACTCGGGAGCTCCAGCTTTTCTTGTTTCTGGTGTTCCTGTTTGTCTACACCACCACTGTCATGGGAAATCTCCTTATCATGGTCACGGTGACCTCTGATTCCCGGCTCCACACACCCATGTATTTTCTTCTCCGAAATCTGGCTGCCATAGACCTGTGTTTCTCTTCAGTCACTGCCCCAAAGATGCTGGTGGACTTC